TATAAATAATAGGTACGATTTAATTGACCTAGTGGTGATGAAACAATAAACGAAAATGCAACAATAAAATGCGAAGAAACGTGAAAACCTGTCCATCAACAATTCATCAATCAGGTATAGGTGTTCTTCATTTTAGATTTCGTTTAAAAAATATGCAATGATTCCGAATCCTCGAAATCTGAAACACCGAAGACGGAATTGATTTTTCAAAACAAACTTTCTCAGAAATTGTCTTTACCTGCATGATGGACCATCATGGATACAAGTATTTTATCCATAAAATAATCTCAAGTTGAACAAGAAGACCTAAGAATGTAATATTTGTAACTTGAAATTGTCCCATAGAGTTGACAATGGAATTCTAAATCCAGGAATTTGTCAAAAACTCTTTTCTAATGGGTGCATCTCGATTTAGCTTTATTTCAATAAAATAATCTCAAGTTTAACAAGAAGACCTAAGAATGTAATATTTGTAACTTGAAATTGTCCCATAGAGTTGTGTTAGTGTGGGCAGAGCGGCAAACACTGGGTAATATACTAGGCGGGATCGCAGAGAACTCCTTATAGACGCGAGGCGTGCGTCTGACCGCTCACAAACACACGCTATGCCAGACCCATGATGCCTTCATGCCGCCACATCCGTGAGTGTGAAGCGTGAACATAGCTTTATAATAGCAATATTATGAAGAATGACTTGATAACATGAATAATTAAGTTTGTCTTCACATAGTCGGCATTTAGCATGAATGACTTGATGACATGAATAATGGAACATGTCTTCACATAGTCAGCATTTAGGAGGAATGACTTGATGACACTATAATTTGAACCTGTCGTAATGCATACATTCAGTACTTAGGATGAATTAATTAATAACAGGAGCATTTATTCATACATTCATCATTTGAGTGGAATGACTTCACAACATGAACATGTCTTCATACAATGAGAGTTTAAGTAGAATGACTTGAAAACATGGACATGTCTACACACTCTCAGCATTTAGGAAGAATGTCCTAATAACATAAACAATTTGAACATTGCTTCTCACATTCAACATTTAGGAGGAATGGCAGACACGGTGACTTCGTAAATCCTTATTCATGAGAAATGAGTGCGAGTAACTGATCGGGACTACCGTGACGAGTAACTGATCGGGACTACCGTGACGAGTAACTGATCGGGACTAGATCGGGACTGCCGTGACGAGTAACTGATCGGGACTACCGTGACGAGTAACTGATCGGGACTACCGTGACGAGTAACTGATCGGGACTACCGTGATGATTGTGAAGCATTATGCACGTGTGTGAAGCATTAATTATTGCATTCGGCATGAGTACGTACACCCCTTCCATGATCTAAAACGTGGTGCCTATTTAATGTTCAATTATTTAGAAAAAATATTTTTCAGAATACCAAGAACAAAAATATGCATGGGTAAAATAATTAATAAAGGAAAGTTGAAAATGACAAGTATTTAACTGAGGTAAACTGGTGGTGCGCAAAACAAGTAACGTTGACAGCAAGATCGTCATTTCACTACGACACACTGTATACCTATAGACAATTCTAATAGACTATACCAATGCAATTACAATGTCAGCAGACGATACCTGTGCTAGACTATATCAGTAGGCTAAAGCAAAGCCGTAAATTATATACCAATAAATAATTGCAGGTAGAGGAACATGAAAATGTGTGAAAAGTAAACTAATAAAAAATATAACTCAGTACTCACTGCAGTGAGTGACAGAGAGCGCATTTTCTCGTCGACGAAAACGTGAAGTAACAAATGAACAGACGACAGACGGGCAGACGGACGGACATGGCGAGCACAATAGCACCTTTTTTCCATAAATGTGAAAATGCGCTAAAAAATAATCATAAATCAGGCTGATTTTGGCGGAGTACGGAGTTGACGAGTTGAAAATTACAATCAGAAATGCCAATTTCACAGCTCTGCTCTTGAAAATGACTGCTGGAAGCAGTTGAAATGTCGCTCATTCCATGAATGCTTTGGTCGATGATCCCATGGTGATGATCCCATGGTGATGATCCCATGGTGATGATGATGATCCCATGGTGATGCACTTGCGATATTCCATTGCAATGAATCTCGATTTTATCGTTACGTATTTCCTAGCAACAGAAACATTTGTTTTCGTATTTAAAGCCAACAATGAATGATAATCCGCCGTTGTAATCCATAGAACGATAAATTCAATCAGTGTTCAATATTCAATAATGAAAAAGGCCTAAAAGATGAAAAAATTAAACAGTTTTGACATAGTAGCATAAGTAAATAATTTGAAGAGATGCAGACACGCGTATTTTTACAGCTTTACGCACGCTAGTATCAGTGCAGACGCAAGAATGTCATACAGCTAGCGTATGATTATAACAACTCCATCATATATTGAGCCGTAAGATGTTGCCTTTGTTACAAAGTATATGATTGCAACCATATGACATAGCAGCAGCACACCTGCTCTACTGCTTTTCTATTTACATTGTATCTAGGTACAAGAATTGCAAGTGCAGTATTATTTAAAATCCGGATACGTATATATAGAACTACGAATATGATAGTTACAGTTACAGTGAGCCAGCCCCAGTGTAGAGAGATTTTAAACAATACATTAAATGTCAGCAGTCACAGTATCAAGAACTTTGAAAACAAGACTCACTGCTGCAGTGTAACTCCCAATACCAGCATGAAGAACTTAAATACATCATTAAAGTTTAACTGCCTGTCCATGCATGTATATATAACTTTACATACATAGCACACAGCTTCTGTGTTACTGCCGCTCCTGGTATATAGAGCTTCAGACACTGACTCCTATGGCTGCAATTTTTGCATCACTTAATTCATACGTGGCGGTTCATGGGGCATCTAATTTCTCATATTTCTATGCATACGCTTATATGGCAGCTGAGCTCTGCCACCAACAGCACTTGGCACCGTGCCATGCAGACCCATGCAGTGCCACACAGCGCTATGCAATGTCATGCAGTGCCACACAGCGCTATGCAATACCATGCAATGCCACACAGCGCTATGCAATACCATGCAGTGCCACACAGCGCTATGCAATACGCTATGCAATACCATGCAGTGCCACACAGCGCTCTGCAATACCATGCAGTGCCACACAGCGCTATGCAATACCATGCAGTGCCACACAGTGCTATGCAGTGCCATGCAACATGGCAGTTCCACACAACGCCATGCAGTGCCACACAGACACAGCACACACTGAGCCATGGAGCGCTCTGTATGGCGGTAATGCATGTAGTATGCAACCTCCATCACCTCCATCTCTCTCACTCTCTCCAAACATAAAGGATTTACTTGTGTAGTGAGCACTTGGTAAATAAACTTTTGAAGCCTAGTAAAATGTTCAAGTTTATTCGTGAAGACCTGACGAAGTCTGTACATGGGGCAAAGTTTAGGCAGAAAATAAGCTTGTATATGTGGAGTGAAATCTAGGCAGGAAATTAACTTTGTATATGGAGTAATGTACGTCTATGCAGTAAATAAGTCTGTACGGGAGCAAAGTCTAAGCAGAAATTAAGTTTGTATATAGAGTAAAGTCTAGGCAGCAAATAAGTTAGTGTATGGAGTAAATTCTAAGCAGCAAATAAGTTAGTATACAGAGTAACTTCCAGATAGTAAATAAGCCTTTACATGCACGGAGTAAAGTCTAAGCAGGAAATAAGTCGTACGGGCGTGAAATCTAGGCAGAAATTATCTTTGTATATGGAGTAAAGTCTAAGTAGCAAATAAGTCTGTCCATTGAGCGAAGTCCAGGGAGACAGCAAGTCTATTAATGGTGTCAAGTCCTGGTCCAGGAAAGCCTATATAAGGCGCGAAGCCTAATAGAAAGGGTTTTGATGCGCTGCAAATCTAGCAAGGCAAATATAGTCACAAATAAAAGGTTTATTGAAGATAACCCAGCAATAATAATGTAGAATGAGATACCGTTGTTAATTTCAAAATAAAAGTACTCCTTACGATCAGGACCGGCTGTCAAGTTTTCGTACTATGTAATTATAATAAAACTATAATATAATATTATATTACTATTAAAATAATATTACTATTAAAATAATATAATGGTTGATTTATTAAGTCCAATATAACCAAAAGTTTCACGATGCGTTACACGCATGTCTCATGAAATGAAATTGTGAATTGCTAGTAAAGAGGATGACTTATGACTGTCTTCCTTTATAAAAACTAGATTGCGACGATATTTAAAACATTTTGAAAAACGAATGCTCATGAAATGAAATTGTGAATTGTAAGTTAAGTGGGTTCATCGTAAACCATGCGCTGGTAGTGGCCAGCATGTTATGTAGTCACAGGTGGTCAGTGTTGGACGTGTTGTCTCCATAAGCAGTTAGTGGCCTTATTTAGCCTTCTTATGTCTGGCTGGCGTGGCTCACCGCGGCCATTACACAGCAACTCTCATCTCTCTTACTAGTATTGTAGTGACCAGTGTAAAATAGTTATTTAGTTACTGCCACTACCGTCTACAAAATCAGATACCATCATATGTTTACTTCCCATTGAATGATTATTAGAATATATAAAAAATAATAGCGCGTTAATTAATGTAATTTAGTATTAATTCGGTAATCAATTAGAATTTTAAGCTCATTTTCCTTCATATTTTTAACAGGTTCAACTGGTTTAATGTATTCCAGACCAAGCAAACACTATTTAGCTGCCAGACATCACGTTTTCTTAGGCACCTTCGTTTCTCAGTCATTATTGATTCGTATTTTATATTCATAACTTACCATTGAATTTTTTCGCAACCAATATACTGCAGTTTACTATACTGAACTTTTCCCAAGCTGTTAAATGATCACTTTCGCTGGACCCACTAAGTTTATATTTTACGAGGAAGCAATCATGCAATTTTCAGTAATGATAAATTACCGCAATAACATCATAACTTTCAATTAATAGAAATTTTATTTTACAGAAACAATGCAAGGCTTAAGAGACGAAATGATGGCTTGTTCCCCACGCCCCTCGTCCATTTCGGAGGCTCCGACGACTCCCACCACTCCGACAGCCCACCCTCATCACCACCATCACCTTCCCTCATCACCAACAGTTGCATCATCACCACCATTAACGACGCAACCACCAGCATCAACACTCACCTCCCTCTGTAACATGGCTTCTGAAACGGCGTCCCTCCACCACACGGAGGGCGCTGTATCAACCTGCACAAGCAGCGTTCACTCTTATCACCTTCCGAGTCACTCCTTGAAACAATCGCCGTTTGCTGTTGACAAGCAAGCGGCGTTGGCGGTAGACAAACATTCGGCCACGGCGGTTGACAAGCAAGCGGCGTTGGCGGCTGACAAACAAGCAGCGCTCTCGAGCAAGCTGAGACTTGCCAAGAGCTTGGCAAGCACCAGCAGTGCGCTGCCCTCGCAACAATCTTCGTTCAGCAGCTTTAGAGCGTCACTGATGGACGACCAGGCATGCGGTAGCGCCTTCACTTCTCCACAATATTCAATGCTGACGCCAAAATCCCTAATTCACGGATTCTCACGGCAAAATTCAGACATGGACATCAGTAATAGCGGTAGATCTTCCGTAGACGGAAGCTCTAAACTCGCCCTTGACTCAGGAGATACCGACATTCATGTTATGTCGCCATCGCTCGTCAACAGCCAAGTTTTATCCAAAACTCGGCCGCTTTCCCCTATTCCCGGAGACTTGAGAAGCAGCAGCGGCATGACAAGCTCTTGCTCCTCGGAAGTCGCCAGACCCATGGCCCAGACCATCGCGTTCCAGACTCTGGAGTTCCAGAGGACACCCAAGCTCGACATGATGAGCTTAGTGTCTCGTGATGCAGGATCCGACCCGCGGGAGACCCTATCGGATTTGCACGCAGCCACACACCCAACCATGGGACATCCTTCGCCGTCAGCGCTGGTAGACGGTCATCCATTGGATCGCTCGCACAGCAATTCTTCTAGTGACAGGCAAGTCGTTTTGTCTTGGATGTGTTTTTAAATAATATATTACTATTTTATACAGCTATTTAAATCAACCCATTTAAGTATGTGCAAAAAACATGACTAATGCCTCGCAATCAAAATTAATTTCTTATGTGATCAACTAATCCGGTGGCAATATTTATCTAACTCAACATTTTTTGTTCGTTTCCGTTTGCCAACTTGTATCTGGTTTGCTCACTGTTTGATTATGACGACTAGTGATAGTACAGTAATGACAATACTAGTATAGTCGAGTAATGACAGTACTAATATATAGTACAGAAGACCAGTGCCAGTACAGTCGGCTAATGACAGTATATACTAGTACAGTACGACTAGTGATGCCCTAAGCTCATCAATGCTCTGCAAATTACTTTAGAGCGAACGTCGTAAAAAACACTCGACCAATACACAAAGGTCTGCATGAGTAGAGCGTGAATTTTGCCTGATTATTCATGCATAAATAATCATGACGGTGTTTTAAATACGGGACAAACAGTGCAATAGAAAAAAATTACCATCCAGGATATGCACATATATTACTCCCCTTGATCCAGACGAACACATGAGTGAACTGATACCTCTATAGGCGCAGCAGAACATAAGGAAAAACACACAAGTGTTGTAAATGCTGCTTGGTCTCTATTGCTCCCTGCTAACTTTATTGTGGCTCTGCGCGCTGACACTCGCTTCATCTTACGATAGTTAAGCGCTTCATTTTACGCGAGTTACGCGCTTCATCTTACGATAGTTACTCGCTTCATCTTACGCCGAGTTACGCACTTCATTACGCGAGTTAGGCGCTTCACTTTACGCTAGTTAATCGCGCTCCATCATACGCTAGTTACGTGCTTCATCTTACGATAGTTACGCTTTGCAACTTGCGCTAGTTCTTTGCTCATCATCTTACGCTAGTTACACGCGCTTCATCCTACGCTAATTACTCGCGCACCATTTACTCTAGTTACTCGCGCTTCATCCTACGCTAGTTATTCGTGCTTCAATTTACGATAGTTACTCGCGCTTCAATTTACTCTAGTCACTCGCGCTTCAATTTACGCTAGTTACGCGCTTCATTTTACGCTAGTTACTCGTTATTTGCAGCTCAATTGGTACTTGTACTAGTCGTTAATTATGTGGTGTAGTCTTATTATTTGATTATGAAAATGAACGCATTTCAGCAAGGAGAATTATCTAAAAATAGTCTATCCGAGGAACTGTCTATTATTTATAGACTAATACATGTCAAACATCCTTATTTTTGTTCGATTTTACTCGAGGCTTAAATGAAGCTCGGGATTATTAAATGAAAATAATGAAACCACTATTTTCTTATAGATAACATCATAAATGCATGAATTTAGGGTAGTTATACTCTCGTTCGTTCTTTTATTTTAATCGATAAACACTTGATCTTTCTTTTATCTTTACTGAACCCGTATGAGCAAACGGTCGACGAGGCACCGTATAATGAAGTTCGTACGACGTGAGCGATGTGAGGAGATTACCTGAAAGAAAATTACATCGCATTGTATGAAAACGAAACAACACTAATAGATAAACACTGAAAAACCATTGAATATAAATATATTGAATATAGAAAAACAATGAACAAAACTGAATAGAGATAAATATTATAAATAGATAAACATTACATTACGTGATATGTGAACTGCTAACTCATTCGTGTAATTAGCTCTATAGCTCAAAAGCTCAGTGTACTTAGCACAGACGCATGAGACAAAGTGCTGTCGAAAGCTGTGCGAAGCCTTACATTGGATCCTGTACATTGCAGTATATTGGCTAACATCCTTACAATGAATATCTTTATTATTGGCAATTCTGTTTTCATAGAGTAACAACTAAAATTAAGGGGCGTTGAGTCACGCTTGGTCCCGAGAAGCTGCTCATGGTAGACCTTCATCAACGTTGGTGAACGGGCCATCGTAAAGGGGCTTGCGTTCCAGGAAGATATGTTCCAGGAACGTTCGATTGGAGCGACGTTTTCAAGGAAATTGCCTCACGTTGGTCCCAACTAAAACACATTGCATACCTTTATTTCTGACCTATAAAATCAATGTATCAGCTTCTTAGCTGAAATGAACGAACTGTTACCACGGAAATAAAACTAATATAGAAAGTTCATGACACATATGTTTTGTAAAAAATATTGCAATTTAGAGGGCTTTTTGTCTTGCAAAGCCAAATGATAACAAAGCAATTCTTATAGTCTTGCTAGTAGGAGAGCTTGAATACTGGCCAGTCGCAGGGCTGAAAGTCTTGCCCGTCCTCACGAAGAAAACATTGCCAAGAGCGTGAATTTTGCCTGATTATTCATGCATAAATAATCATGACGGCGTTCTAAATACGGGACAAACAGTGCGATAGAAGAAAGTTACCATCCAGTATATGCACATACATATATTACTCCCCTTGATCCAGACGAACACATGAGTGAACTGATACCTCTATAGGCGCAGCAGAACATAAGGAAAAACACACAAGTGTTGTACTATATAACACACACGGAGGTACTGATGCCTCTGCGCGTATGTATACACCGCAGAACGCGAATAATAATACACAAGTGTTGTACTATAAGACAATCGTGAGGGTACTGATATAAGTGCGGATACTGATACCTCTGTATACTCCGCAGAACACAAATAATAATAAAATAATAATAATACACAAGTGTTGTACTAAGTGACACAGGAGCACACGACGCTCCCTACTTGGCTGTGCTCATCAGTGAAGATGTGGGGCGTTAGCCGAGAGAGCGGCGAGGGTGTTAACTCAGTGCCCATTACGGGCAGACCGCATCAGGGAGAATGCTGCTTGGTCTCTATTGCTCCCTGCTAACTTTATTGTGGCTCTGCGCGCTGACACTCGCTTCATCTTACGATAGTTACGCGCTTCATCTTACGCTAGTTACGCGCTTCATCTTACGCTAGTTACGCGCTTCATTTTACGATAGTTACGCGCTTCATCTTACGATAGTTACGCGCTTCATCTTACGCTAGTTATGAGCTTTATTTTACGCTAGTTACGCGCTTCATCTTACGCTAGTTACGCGCTTCATCTTACGCTAGTTACGCGCTTCATCTTACGATAGTTACGCGCTTCATTTTACGNTATAGTCTTGCTAGTAGAAGAGTTTGAATACTGGCCAGTCGCAGGGCTGAAAGTCTTGCCCGTCCTCACGAAGAAAACATTGCCTGGCACCATTTCGGAACGTAAGTCTTTTATCTCTCATGGCTGTAACACTTGATAGTTACAGGTCTGAAAGACCTGCGAGTCGTAGGCTGGAAGTCTTGCTAGTCGCAGGTCTGGAAGTCCTGCTAGTCGCAGGTCTTAAAGTCCTGCTAGTCGCAGGTCTTAAAGTCCTGCTAGTCGCAGGTCTGGAAGTCCTGCTAGTTGCAGGTCTGGAAGTCCTGCTAGTTGCAGGTCTGAAAGTCCTGCTAGTTGCAGGTCTGACAGACCAGCTAGTCGTAGGGCTGGAAGCCTGCTAGTTGCAGGTCTAGAAGTCTTGCAAGTCGCAGGTCTGGAAGTCCTGCTAGTTGCAGGTCTAGAAGTCTTGCAAGTGCCAGGAGCCGCAGCGAGCGCGGCGGAGCCAGGCTCGTAGATGGACATGGGCGTTGACGGCGAGCGAGATCCCGGCGCAGGGCATCGCCTTCCTCGCGCCATCCTCGTGTTTTGGTTGCCGTACCCGTCAATGTCGGCTCAAAATCGTTTGCTTTTCGGGCTTTCGAGGGAAAATATGCGTGATGGTTTTCTTGGTTTAAGCCGTGATGTGAATTTTGTTGGTTTGCGTTTAACAAAAATTCATCTTAACTGTATATTTTCTTAGAATAAAGGACCGTGAGTTTCCTTGATATCGTCTGCCTTAATGTGAGTTTTGACGGAATCGGTAATAATTAACTTTTTAGTCTGTGTACAACTCAGTATTTTCAACTCCTGCTTCATGGCACAAAAACTTTTTCTCAAACTCGTCTTTTCGTAACATACGACCGCTTTCTTGTTAATAAAATGACCAAATTCACGATCATCTCCTATATCCAGTCACTGAAAAATGCATCGAGAAAATCACGCCTATCGCTGGAACTTTTTATTCTGCACGCCGGTTTTTATCGAGCATTAACAATACCATAAACTTCGTGTGCTCCCACAGGACGGGATGGGAGCGCCGGTCTGTTCCCCAGCGCAACTCTTGGTCGCGACGGCGTCCAGCGTCGGCCAACTTCTTGCAGGAGAAGGAGGCACTCAAGGGCAGCGTGAGGGAAATGCTCGACTCGAACGAGAGCATGGCGAGCCTCAGCAATGCCGACCTCGACGGCCCGCAGCAACCGCCGGTCGAGGAGCCCAAGACCGGGAGCAGAGGACGAGGTGGACGGTGAGTGCAGAGATTTTGTTCAGAATCATTCCATGAATGGCAATCTACAGATAAATAAATACATAAATGTATGATAAGATGTGGCGGTGGTAAAACGAAGGGTAAAATTACCTGATTTAAGTACGGTGAGGCAATAAGTAAATAGACATTTTCTGCAGAGTTTGTTTATATATGAATCATCACAATTCATAATTCAAACTTGAATCATCTTAGGCTGGATTGAAAGAAACTGTGCTTCAAGACATTTAGATCAAGGTACAAACTTAAAATATAGATAAAATCTTGATACTCCCTTGAAGAAAATTTGTCCGGTTCTTATAGATTAAAGTAGATCTCGAAAAAATAGAAAAAAATGTCAAAGATTGGGTAGCTGTTTCTACAAATCTGAAATTATTCTCCACCAGCCACTCGTGCTGTCGAATGCTTTTGTTGAATATAGGTACAAATTTGCAGGCTAACTGAAGCTCAAACCAATAAATTACACATGATTTTCTAATTTTTAAAGAGCTATCAGAATATGCAATGTTAAGCTGAAAGTCGATTGAACTGAAGATTCTACACAATTGTCAAGGAACTAAATAATAAAATCCTATTATCAGAAAAATTCTGCTTGAGCGCGATCACTCATGAGTTCAAGAAGGAAATAAAGATACAAAAGAAGCTCAGTGCAAGAATGAGTGCATTTCGTCCACTGAAGCAAACGTGATTTGGCAGAAGCTCGATAGTCGCACTAGAGCTCTTCTCCACACGGCTGTTTTTTTGCAACAAAATTGCGTCAACCATTCAACCACTAGCAACTCCTGACTATTATAATACAGTATTCTGACTGTGCTTAGCCAAGAATTAAAAACGTGTAAGAATTTCAACCTTTTTCTCGTTCATACATTTGGCAACCTCGGCCATCTGTATGAAGATGTCATACGTTGTGACGTTAAATCTATATAATCTCTTCAGAGTTAGTATCAGTGATAAGTCAAATGAAGTGCTTGATCCCTCGTGATCGTTCGTCAAGCTAAAGACGACCATGCAGGAACTTTCGTTACAAAGTGACATCTTGGCAAGAGTCTTGAAAAGTCCCTTGCGAAACATTTAGCATGCGCCACGTAACATGTGACCTGCAGACCCGGAACATGTGAACTGTGACTAAATTATGAAGCTGTATTTTTCGATTTATTTTGCGTGCAACCCGCAAGTAAGTGCAATTTTCATGCAACTATAAAATATTACATGTAGCCCAAAGGGGATAGACAAATTAGAAAAAAAAAATAACTTTTTTAGTGAGCATACATAGGTATGCTGAGCGGAACATGTGACAGCGCAAGCTTGACAGTCTGGCTGCTACAAAAACTGAGCGTCGAAACAATATGCACGGGTCAGAACACTATACTTAATGTTCGATGAAAATAGTTATCTGTGATGACGGATGGACTCAGGTAATAAGCAGGTAAATTTATACAAGGTTAAAGTGAATCTACGGTTAAAGTTAGCGGTCGGTTAAAGTGAGTGGACGGTTAAAGTGAGTGGACGGTTAAAGTGAGTGGACGGTTAAAGTGAGTGGACGGTTAAAGTGAGTGGACGGTTAAAGTAAAGTGAGTGGACTGTTAAAGTGAGTGGACGGTTAAAGTGAGTGGACGGTTAAAGTGAGTGGACGGTTAAAGTGAGTGGACGGTTAAAGTGAGTGGACGGTTAAATTGAGTGGATGGTTAAAGTGAGTAGACGGTTAAAGTAAGTAGACGGTTAAAGTAAGTCGACGGTTAAAATGAATCGACGGTTAAAGTGAATTGACGGTTAAAATGATCCATTTACATCGATGTAGCGGTTTGAGCGATGCCATTGATGGAAAGATGCGGTTATTAAAGTAATAAGACTGAAAGCATGACACCTTGTCAAGGGTGATCCTGTTTTAATAGTTATATATTGCGCGGCTGTAACGATATGATGTAGTGATACGGCAGTTGCAGCAACACGTCGGCTTGAATGACACGATAGTTGAATGATATAACGGTTAGGTCGGAACGACGGTTAGAAAGATAGGACTGCGGTTAGAGTGAAGCGTTTGGTTCATTTGACGGGTATTATAATAAGCCGGATCGAAGGGTAGACAGGTGGAGTGAAGAGACCGTCAACCGCGAGCCGGGTGATGAGTAGGCGGATGTTGCCGGCTAGGACTGGGCGAATCGAAAGCTTATGCGGGTGCAGCCGCGGAGCCAAAAATCCAACCTCCATTAAATAAAATAGACGGCAGTGACTTAAAAAAGTTATAAAGTACAGTTATACAGTAGTGCAAGTATTAAAAAGTAGTAGTAGTAAAAAGTTATAAAGTACAGTAAGTACAATTATCGATAGTTTACGCACTCTTGTGTACGATGGAAGTTCGAGAGAAAAAATGCGTTATTTTCTCTAATGTCAGACACATGGCGGCCAATTTTCTCAACAAACTAATCGATTATTTTCAGTTACCTAAAAGTCTATCTGATATTGTAGTATGTGACTTAATTAACAGGTATTGTAAAAGTCGTAATTGATTGAGAACAGAAAGTTGCACACCGAGTCGGTTAAAATATTAATAATATATTTTATTTATTAATATAAATATTTTAAAAGTTGGTTGATTCTCAGACCATCCAATGAGATAGTAAATGAATTCTTAATGAATCTCAGGGGATAAAAAATAACCAATGAAATAATAAACAAATTTTTAATGAAGCGCAAATGAAAAAAATATACTATCACGAAAGAATATATACGAATTCTTGTGCTGCGTGGCTTTAATACCCACGGAAAGATGGCACTCCACCCAATGTATGGAGAGATCATCCGTAAATAGAGAGCGCTGTGTAGCCAGGGGCGGACTGCCACAGCCTTGTATGAAGCATCTCTCACACAGCCTCTGAACACATGTGTTGTCAGTATACAAGATGTGTTTGTCACATTCACACCATACAGTAACTTGGGTTATTTGCTGCCTTACTAAAGGTGGATGTGAATTTTCACTTTAAATTTTGTTCGTTTTGCAATTGATTAGTTAACATATAAATTGAATATTACTTTTTTCAACTTGTTTAAAATTAACCTTGATAAATACCTTGATATTTATCTCAATTAAACCTATAAATTAACCTTGATATTTATCTCAAGAATAATTGACAATTAGAGATTACTTTATTTTAATCTTTCCTTGTGGAATAGTTTACTTCACTGCCTTAATATTGAAACAATCGCGGCATCCAAAATGTGAGATTACCGCGGGTTCGTAAGAAAATTACCCTAAACAAATGACAAGCGACGTAAAAGTTGCCTTGAGGGTACACAGCGCGATGGTATAGGCCACGCCCAGCGGGGCACCGCATAATCGCAGAGAGGAACCAGCTTCCACTTTCTGTAGATAACTGACGGAAACCTATAATTATATTTCTCTATAACACTACTCCTTGATTCCTTCTTAACAGCCTGGTCAATTCGTGTCATGTGTCGAAAATTGAGTTAAGCAAGATATTGCTATAATTTGTTGTTTTATTCATTAATTCTTATCACTAACGCCAGAGGCGATTTAATTAAGCACAAAATAAATTATAGCCGGTACAGATAGTCGAAGTCATAATACCGCATTGAATTATATTTTGATCAGTTTATTTTTTTAATCGAACCACATAATTTCAGGCAGAGTCGTGTTTAAAAGCCATATGACAAACAATAACAATCCAGATTAAACATTCGAACTACGTTTCTCAGTCCACGCTTTGGAAACAAACTATACAAAGAAGTACTTCGGTGCAATCGGCGTCACGAGCACGGCCCATAGCTGGTTGAGGTTAGTTTTAAGTGAGGCAATAGGCCTAGTTGCTTTACAAGGAATTTGGAGGAGCGTCTTAGAAACAGACGCGTTACCTTCTAAGGACTGAGCACCGCGACGATCGCGGCAGGCTGTGTTCCTAATATGAGCAAGCTTATATTTGGCGTGCGTTCAAGCCTATCGTACTGTCATAGTGTCTGATAAGCGTGCGCTAGTACCTCCATTAAAACATTGGTACTCAAGATTTTTATTTATTAAAAAAATAAGTGAGTACTCAAGATTGATATTACGCAGAAAAACTTAATTTTTAGACTAATTAATTATTGAATAAAAAGACTCAATCATTGAAAAAACATAAAAAAACATTAATTGAATAAAAAATTTTGAACATTGAAGCTCAGCTTTTATATATTATACACAAAGTTCGTATGTATGTGTTTTCTACACAAGTAATCCGTCATTTATTTTATCAGCTTTAGATACATTCATGTATTCCTCAACCACACATTCAAGTTAATGTAAAAGAAAATTAGAATTCGTGCAATAAATATAGATTTATAAAATATCTCTATAACAACTCGACGCAAATCAGTTCCGTATCCTCCTCGCATCGAAAAACGAGTCAGACCTCAAGTTATCAATTTATATTCATCAATTCAGCAAATTAATGTTCACTTTACTTATTAATACTGCAATCAATTAACGGTTAGCAAGGTTTAATCAAGAAAATGCATTATTAGAATTTTTTTTACTGAGTGGAATGTTTGATATCAAAAATATACATTTAACATAAATGTCTGCGCCACAGTTTTATTTGCGTGGAGTTTGAGAGATAATCATTACCTTAAAGTTCTCCCATTATTTATAATATCTACTTTTAGAGTCCCATATTTAATTTGCTATGCAAATTTCAATATTTTCCAGGGGCATGCAAGCGGCAAAGTATGGCTTCTATTTATTCACGAGTGTAATAATGCAGTTAGATTATTGCCCCACTCTAAGGCCATATGAAGGAAGTTCTCCTTGAAACTCTGGGTCAGTAGAGACATTAATTCAAGCCTGACTGAGCCTACACAATCACATAGGATAAAACAACTAATTTACGAGTATAACAGGGGATCAACAAAGGCCTTGAGTCGAGGTTCCTAAAGGAAAAAATTGAATAATTTTAATTTCACCTCGAATTTATTCCTTTTCTTTCAGTAAG